GCAAGCCATTTTCAAAGCCATATATTTCGAACAACGCTCCTTCCTCCGTTGGTCTCTAAACAGCATATGAGTCATAACAGGCCAACTGTTGCCAAAAGACTGTGACAATGAATACAATAAATAAAAAATAAATAGCCTATTCACTGCAGTGCTTTCTCAAAAAAAGTGTGTTCACTAGTGATAGCTGTTCGATTTGTAGAAGCTTCGACACAGTATTCAAAAAAATGATTCATTACTTGAGGCTTCAATGACACAGTGCTTGAGTAGGTCAGTAAAATGAAATGCAGTGGATTGTTTGGGATTTGATTCGCCATGCATATTCCTGTTTGAATACACTACATGGTTGTATGGTTTCAAGCTGGCACAATAAAATATAAAGTAAACATGGACTCATGTTGAAGACCATGTTTCTTATTTGGCACGTCTGATTGTACTAGGCTATAGCTATATACTTAGCCTGACATTTTGTGTTATGAATCATATTCTATCTTAAAACAAGTCTAAATAGCCCATAGCTTAAAGGATGTTGAATTGTGGATGTTTAGAAGGCTAGATGGCAAATGTGATCTCATTTCAAATGTTTCATTGATGATCTAAATAAAACTGGCTGTATCGGGAATCAAACCCACGCTACATTGTTACAAGACTGTGGTTTTCATGATGCACATTACAAGATCCAATCAAATTACCTCATGGTTGTTTCACATTTGAGTAAGGTTAGCTACTACATACCATGATCCTTCATCAACTCCCACCAATGTGCATGTTACAGCGCTTACATCAACTGTTTTCATTTGCTCTGAGAATCATTGTTTAGTAATGTTATAGAATCTTTAGTACTGAATGCAACACTGTCAAAACAAATCTCTGCTGACTCGGTCTCTATTTCCTTCGAAGGCTCAGCTCAGTTCCCCCAAAGAGTCAAGACAACCAAACCACTGACAGGGTTTCGATACCGAATGCAGCAGTAAAGTGTTTCATACGTCACTAGTCACGTGATCAAACCACGCCTCAGCACAGTGGTTCAATACAACTGTTTAGTGAACTACCGCGCATGTGTCGGGGTCCGCCCTGGACAGGTCACCAGTCTATCACAGGGCTGACATGTAGACAAACAACCATCCACACTCACACTCACACTTGGGGGAAATTTAGAGTCACCAGTCAACCTAAGCTGCATGTCTTTGAACTGTCGGAGGAAGCCAAAGTACCCGGAGAGAACCCATGCAGGTACAGTTAGAACTCCACACAGACTTTAAACTTGACTTTAGAATATTTCACCATTTACAGGTCAAGAATGAATCTCCACACTCACGAGCCCTAAGGTATCTAAGGGGGCCCCACTTTGAACCACTATCAAAATCTACTGAAGCAGTATTTACAGTTAACAGGGACCCTGACTGTGGTCCTACCTGTGTGCATGGACAGTGTGAGGAAGGCCATAGAGCTTCAGTCCGTCAGCCTGTCGGCCGCTGACTTTCCAGCTTTCTCCAAATTCATTCAAATTCCTAACCACTGTCCCGTCTGGCTTCATATACTCGTTTCTGGTGATGCCATCATAATTTCCACATAACCCTCTGACAGCGTTCTTGTAGGTGCTGGGCAGTATGATCTCTGATAAACAAACAGAGAAACATAGTCAAGTCAAGTCAAGTCAGCTTTATTTATACCTTTCAGTGCCCCACATACAGTATAAGAGCATAGATAAAGTCACAGAAAGTTAGAATACAGCAACAAAAATAATATCACAACGGGTCTATACATCCGAGCTCAAGTAAAACAAATTGCTTATTCATAGAGACAGGAAAAGAGAAACAATCTAAGCCTTTTTTTAGAGTACTGATGGTGGTGGTTGAATGCAGATCATCTGGTAATTTATGCCAGAGAGTGAGACCTAGGTAAGCGAAAGCACCTTCTGAAGACTTTAAATTTAATTTCGGCACAGTTAAGAAATAACTAGCTGATTACCTGAGTGGTCTAGAAGGAATGTATTCAGCAAGCAAGTCATGAATATACCGAGGAGCCAACTTATTAACTGTTTTATAAACCTGTCCGTGCAAAGTCTCAGTCATCCAGGTCATAGTATGCTGAAAAAATGTAGAAAAAAATCATCTGGGTGCAGTTTTAGGAGTTTTATAGACCATAAAGCCATTACTTTATAGACTATAAGACTTTATAGTTAATCCTCTACTGTTTAGGTTCAAATGTATGACTTCATATTAAGCATTCTGACCAAGGCATTTTGAAAGAGCTGTAGTTTACAAATCATTTGTTTATGTAGACCAGCACAAAGGGTATTACAGTAGCTCAACTAGGAATGGAAGCGTGGCCTATATTTACAGCTACAACTAGACATAAAAAAGAAAAAGGATTTTGGATGTGTTCTTCAGGTGATAAAAAGCCATCTTGGCTAGGATGCTAATATGTTTATCAAAGTCAGAATCAGCTTTCAGAATGACTCCAGGGTTCTGAACGGAAATGACTGGATTCACAAACAAGCCAGAGAAGAGCTCAGTTAGCGAGGGAAGAAGTTTTATTGTTCTCTTACCTCCACGAATGTTGCCATCAAAGCGTACAGTGAGTCCAAAGTCAGTGGTGAGCTGGACCTGCTTGGAGTTCACTGTGATGGTCAAACCATCAACTGGACTGAGAGGAGGTGCAACACGCTCTCCATTCACCTAGAGGAGATACAATGTGATTGCAGTTTATGTTTTCTACAACAATGTCTTTTTACTTAGAATGCACACACAGCAAAGATGCAGTGCAAGTCAACATGAAGTACGGTGTGCTGGAGAAGTTGTGTGACATGTTTTTCATTTAGATGATTTGTACTACCAGAAGTACTGACCAAGACAGTCTTCTTCTGCAGGAAGCGAACATTGACACCATAAACATCAATGTACATCTGGTCCAGGAATGACACCTTTTTGTTCCCCCCCCGTCTGATGTTCTTTCCCCTCACCACCAGGGGTGACAAGGAGTTCTGAAGGTTGTGACCCTGAGTCAGGACGTAGATGTTGGTACCCTGGAAGTAATGGGCGAAACCATCAAATGTTCGGTAGTGAGGATCACCAGAGATGCTGCACTTGTTGAACTCTAGAAAAGATGTCAAATGAATAGGAAAGATTAAAAAGGGTCAGTATCCAAACAGTGCAGAACTCGCCAATTTGTATTTACATTTTTGAGGTTTAAAGTATTTAAATTGTGCACTGTTTGCCAGTCCCAGCATGTTGTAATATAACACATAAAGCCTCTAGGGTGGTGGACTCACTGGTGGGTTGGCAGTAAAGGTCTCCATATTTGTCCAGGACACACAATGAGTCTGAATCGCAGCTGTGGTCCTTACATGTGATACTGCCACCGGGGTTACAAGTACAGGAGTTCACACATTTACCTGTCAGCCACGAGTCTCCCACCTACACACACATATACACAAAACAGATGCATTTACATTTACAGACACAACTTGGTATCAGTTTGTTTAAATTTCAATCTAATTACTATGAAAATAATAATATACTATACTGCTACATGTGACCATATTTCTAATTTCATTCCAAAGAATGTGCCTCAAGTCAATTAATAGAGCTGCGTGTTGCTTTTTACACCTGATAACAATGGTGGGGCAGCAGTGGCCTTAAGGTTAGAGAAGCGAGCTTGTGGTCATTAGTTAATTCCCCAGACTGGCAGGATTCAAGTGACAGAAGTAGTGCCCTCATTACGATAATCATAATAATCATCATCATCATCATCACATCATTGCCACCACTGCGGTGCCTTTGAGCAAGGCCCTTAACCCCAACATGCTCAAGTGGAGCTGCTCAATGGCCACAAGTCAGTCTGTGGTTGTACTGGGCAGCTTCCAGGTGTGATCATATAGCTGAATCAATAAAGGTTAAAAAACAAAAAACAAACAAACAAACAAACCAAGGAGCTTCAGTTGCTGGTGCTAAGACATAGTAGCTATAAGACTCAACACAATATAATAAGCAAAGTAGAAAAATCATTATAGTGTTCTCTGTCAGGTCTTTTGGGCTTCATTGTATTTGCCTATAGTAACTACCCAGGAAAGTTTCTAGAAATAACTATGTCATTTAGTATTAAGGAAGCTGAATATTCAAACATGAAATGTCTCCAGGCACAATGTAACACGTAAAAATAAAGCTTCAGATTAATAAATGAGTAACTGCTTTTCTTAAAAGAAACTTTTTGTTCCATAAAATTGATATTTTCCCTATAATTAGCAACATATATCATAGTTCATTTCTGGAAAAAGCCTCAGAAATTATTGGGAATAAGTGTTGATCTTATTTCTTCATTATTCCTTTTTACCAATGGGCACCACTGATGTAAATCTTTTTGCTGGGTCTCAACTAAGACCTTCTTGCTAAAAAAATAAAGCTCCTTCGCACCTTTAATGCTTATAACCCACATGTTTGTGATTTCAGTATTCAGGATGTTCAGCCAGCAGCAGCATGGATTTGCTTCACTCACATCATGGTACTCTCCATCTGAGTCCAGACAGCCACATCTGTCCAGAGGAACACACTTGCTGTCACTGAGGACAAATCCTGCATCACACTGACATCCTTCCACACAGGTAGTTGGAGGAAGGTGGCAGAAAATGGGGAAGAGGTCTGAGCAGGTTGGGGGGCAGGGGGCCGTGCAGTCTGAGTAGTGACTCTTAGGAGGGCAGGGCAGGGCTGCAGGGAAGGAATAGAATTAAGTATGAAAAGATTCAAACTAAAATATTTGATTTAAACAGTTGATTAGCTTATTATGACTTACGACAGAAGGTGTTGTTCCTCCAGCTGATGGTGACTCCGGCACTCTGACAGGCCTGAGCATATGCATCCACGTTGTCACAGAGCGTTGCCTGCATGCCGTTATATTCACACATGTCATAGATGCAGTTACCCAGGAAAGCCTCAGGGGGCACCAGGGAGTAGCAGGGCTTGAAGCGGTCAGAGAGAATGACCTTGGCACACTGGGCCTCGTACAGTTTCTCTTCTTCTGCAGTGCAGTTGGGGTGGATGTCTGGGCGAGTGTCTGGCTGACAGCTAGAGAGGAGAATGTTTCGATGAATGGATTCATCAGGCTCTAGGATGTTGCGATGCTGTGTCTGAGTGACTTAGCTGATATGTGAACTCATGCTATCCTAGGTGACAATTTTTATGACACTCATCTGCTGGTGATTACATAGAATATCAAACTTACATATGTTCTGTTGGACGTTTTACAACTGCACTACACCATCTTTAAGCCCAACACAATTGTCAGTATGTTGTGAATTTAATACAACTATGGATGGACTACTAAACAAGCCTAAAAGGCACAGGGCCAGAGCCTCTGTATGAAGAGACAGTGCCTTATATTTTTTTGATTTAAGGTCACAAAATTACTTCAAAGACCACAGCCACAATCAAAAAGAAATGCTAACAACCCCAAGATATGCAAAGTGGCTACAAAGATGACAAACAACCACAATGAGACTCTAAGTTAAGACTACGTTATTAAGGGTTTTTTTGGTAAGGATTCTCTTGTCATTACCGACAAGTCAAAGATGTGTTATGTCTTTAATGAGCACTTTATTTCTTCTGTTTTTTTTCATCTGATAATGCCACTATGACACAAAACCACATCGATTCTGATGGAACTCAGAACCCAGAGGCCCGGTATCTGGTTAGACCTTTTACCTGTGGTCCTGAACGTCCTAAATGCTCTTTATTCTACTGACCCAAAAATGGCTGCGGTGCAGCTGACTGCACCACTTATTGTGGGATGTATTACTCATATTTTTTATTTGACATTATTCACAGAAAGCATTCCTATTCTGTGGAAGACTGCCTATGTTATACCACTGCATAAAGGGGGACCCTCAAATAAACTCAATAATTGTCACCCTATATCTAAATTCTCTTGTCTGGATCCAAAGCTTTTGATGCTGTGGATCACAACATTCTCTTGCAAAAACTTGGTCATATTGGAGAAGTCTTGTAATTGCTTTAGAAATTATTTGTCTGACAGATCACAAGCTGTTGTAGTAGATTGTTCTGTATTAGACTATGGCAACATCATTTCTATGCATGCCTCTGCCAAAACCCTGAAAGCACGTGATTCAACACATCGTGCTGCTATTTGTCACTAGAGATTTGTTTTGCTTGTGAAATTGTGTTTTGTGTAAACAGGGCATCCATGCAAAACAGAGTGAAATAGCTGTCATTACATACCCTGTATGAATACAGATTGAATGAAAGTGCCCACAAAGAGATGCAAAATCACTAAATAAAGATGACAAATGACCATAATAACACACAGCAATCATGAAGACATCACAAATAGGAGGTGTGTGGGGGCTTTTACCTATTTGTGCCTGGAGGCTCATTTCCTCATAGTCTGTCTGTGCATATTACCTTTGTTTGGTATAATAAACTTTTGCAGGCTTTGACTCTTTTAGAATCTAGTTTGAGGGCTGGAATGCCAAAAATGGTTGTTGACACACCTGTATTATTGCTAAAAATGACATTAATTGTCAAGATTAGATGTAAAAATAATCAGCCTATGTGAGCCAGCCATGTACAGTAAATCAAAGTATATAAAATTAAATCAAGAAGCTTCTTCATCATTATTGTTAGCTGTGTTATTTTAAATTTCAGTTCAACTCACCTGAAACTGACCAGAACGTCACAACCAACCACATTCACCTGACCACACTGTTTATTTTGGCAGTGGACTTCTCTCAGAATACTGTGCATACTATCAAAGCTGTGGGAAGTTGCAGCTGCACTATTATGTGTGTAGAATTCCTCAACCCTTCATTGTGCCACAGTTTCTTTTTTGATTTTATAGAATTTATTATAAACTACACAGACTAAAAAAATGTACTCTTTGCAAATAATGATCAGAAGAACTTGATGCTGATTGGAGAGATAATCCTGTCATGAGATATTTATAATAAAACATGTGTGATGGTTGTAGCCCACTGACCCAGGATCACTGTCTCCATCTGATTTCCAGCTGTTGCCCAATTCAATCACATCCTTGGCTGGTTTCTTGTCGGGCATCAAGTTGTCATCAGACGAGTTGTGGTTATAGTTCCCACACATGCCACACAGCTGGAGAGAAGGGAGGTGGAACAGGGTTATGACAATGTTTCCATATGGGGCTCAGGAGGTAGAGCGGGTCATTTCCTAACCGGAGGATTAGCGGTTCGATTCCTGGCTTGTCCAGTCAACATGTTGAGGTGTCCTTGAGCAAGACACTGAACCCCCAGTTGCTTCCAGTGATGTCACCGGTGTGTGAATGCGTGCGTTCTTGGGAGTGCGAATGGGTGAATGGCCGAATAATGTGAAAGCGGTTTGAGTGTGCTGTAAAAGCATAGAAAGGCGCTATACAAGTATAAGACCATTTACCATAAACCGAGCGATCTTAACAAGCTTACAGCATTCACAATCCAGTAAAACAAATAAATAACAGGCAGCTACAAACGGAACAGCAGAAATACTGAAACCTGACTGTGTGACTTATGGACAGATCATAAGACAGTAAGACTGGTCAGATAATTTCATACCTTGCTGAAGTATTCTCCAGGAACAGTGATCTCTAGATGATGGACCCCATCAAACTTCACCTGCAGACCAAAGTTTGTGTCCAGCAGACTGTAGGACCCACTGGATATCACCTTGGCTCCAGCCAAGTCAATGGAAACTGGGGTTCGCACCCTCCGCCCATTCATCTAAGACAGGGCAGAGAGAACACAGAGATCACTAATTTCACTGTCCCCTTGGACCTGTCCAAGGTGTACCCCGCCTTTCGCCCAATGTCAGCTGGGATAACTTACAGCCCCCCGCCGCAACTCTATTCAGGATAAGCTGTACAGATAATGTAAGGACGTATCCCTTTGCTGTTTTCTGCAGTTATGACTTAATACCCATTAAATCTGAAATTCTCCTTACCAGTACTCTGTGGCTCTTCTGCAGTTCAACTACAGTATCATGAGGTAGGTAGACTTTGACAGAGCGAACATAGGAGGCCTCTGGTTGACCACGCTCCTCGTTTTTAGCCACTATCCTGAAGGGAGTTACCTTGGTGGCGTTACACACCTAGAATATTCAGAAAAATGATTTGAAACATCTTATAGTTTAAGAATGCATAGCAGGTAAAGCAGTCAGGGGCACAATGATGACAGATGTGCATCAAGTTCTTCCCATACCTCCACCAGAGTGTAAGTGCAGGTACCCATGAATGTGTGCATCACACCATCAAAGGTGTAGTAGTGAGGGTCTCCAGCCACATGACACACTCCTTTACCTGAGGAGGGAAGTGAGGGTCAGTCAAATGTAAAAAATGTATCTAATGGTCATTGACTAGCTCAAAGAGAAATGGTGAACACAAATACAAAAATATGGCCCATATTATAATAAACCAGAATTATTTTGAAATCTGGAAGCATTTTTTAAAAAGGTGGTATTATGGCCATTTCTGACCCATTTTTATAAATAATGGGCATATTTTATTCACCCAAAGTTGTTTAGAGTTCTCTAACTCTATTTTTACAAACAGCCCAGATTCTTCTCTGTTTTCAAAGCTAATAACATAAAATTTAATATTTATATTCACGAGCACCTACTCTGATTGGTTGGAGGCGATGACAGATCACTACCCCCAACCAATCAGAATAAGACTCCTATGATCAAACTTTACCTTATGCTAATGGCTGCATCTGGAAACACAAGACAGTATACAGAGGTATATGAACTAGAGTCTGATCCTGAATGAAAAGGAGAGAAACCTGCTGTTGCAGACTACATACTTCAACTGGAAGTTTCAAAATGGTAGGATCGTGTTTGTTTCCTAACCAAGTAACAGTCATTTTTTTCAAATGCAGCTGGAGGCAGCTAGTGTAGCTTTAGCACAACTGTTCTCATTTAGCTCCCTACACTCTCAGAGTAGGCTTATCCTCACACATCTAATTTCATACCTGGGTGCAATGTGGCAGTAGGTACAGTTTCAACCGGCTCGCCCTCCAGGTGGGAAATTCAAAATTCTAATAGTAAAAACACTCTAAGGAAAGACTTTACCAGGTTTGACCTTAGCCATCACCGTGCTCCACCTCACACCTCAGTTTTTTTTTTGTTTTCCATCATACCACCTCTTTAAGATGGAAAATGATCAGTTCATGATTATTATTGAAATACTGACACAGCTCCAGCTGTAGTAAATTTTGGTCATTCAGTCTGTCTGTTGTTAGGTTTACCTGTGGAGTGGCAGCCCAGTACTCCTTCCACCACTTTACACTCCTGTGCAGGGCTGCACTGCCAGGGCTCACAGGTGATGTTGTGGTTGGCATTACACTTACAGCGCTCCGAGCAGTCCATCTCTGTGAACCAGGTGTCTCCCACCTACGCCCCACCCACATGGACAAATAGTGCACATAAATAAGTTCAACACATGTTCAAGCATATTTTCTTGAACAAAACTCAAGAAACACAAAATCCCTTTTGTCCCTTAAAGGAGTTTTTCCACTATAGGAACCTACTTAAACGTGTTGTGCCAAGTAATATAATGGAAAAATACCCATGCTGTCTCTCAGACATTCCACACAAAAGACAACTTGAACACCTCTTTATTGACTTCCACAAGTTTTGCGTTTATTTCCCAATAAGGTGTGCCAACTTTGGAGGTGCATTCTGGGAGCTAAATTTCGGCACCCCTCAGGAGGTAGTACTAAAATCAAGTATGAGGAATGCAAGGGGGGAGAGGGAGCGTGCACGCAGAGCAGTTGCCAGTGATTGGTTAAATGTCTGCATCTTCACACCTCAAGCATTAGCATTACAAGTGCCTTGTGTAAACACACAGCTGATTGCATGAGTGAGAGAGGAGCAGCCCCTCCCTCAGCTAAACAGAGACCAACAGACTAACAATACAGTGGAAAAATAAAGCAGCTCATTAGGTTCCAATAGCGGAAGCACAGCATAAATGTTCCACCCAAGCACACCTACCGGTTTGTACTTTCTGTTTTCATCAGTACATCCACACTCACTGAGCGGGACACATTTGTCTCCACTGAGGATAAGGCCAGGGTTACAAATGCATCCCTCCACACAGGGCTGATTGCAGGGGCCATCATGGCCCACGGGTTCCTGACAGCTGGGCTGAGGACAGGCAGTGCTACATGGTGTGTATTGACTCCCTGGAGGACACTTCAGAGCTGGATGGAAGAGAAGATTTGGAAAAGGGTGTTTCCAAGATATTTTGGGAAGTATACAACTTTATAACTTTCATCAGAATCTAGACAAAACTGTCATGTCTGCACTGTTGCTAGTTAAAATGGTGGAACAAATTTGTTTACCAATAAATCAAGTATGAGTGTGTTCAGTAGTAAAATATGTCATTTCTGCTTTTTTGACCCAGAAAAACTTTTCCAAACCTAAATTTGAAAATTTCGCATTTTACATCACCCACAGTGGAGTTATCCAAATTAGATACAAGGTAGCCTGTACCACCAGGAAGAACCTGTTAATCTGAAATGCTTCCTTTTCATTCATAAAATAGGATCCTATGTTTTCTTAGTTAAAGAAGATTAAGTTAATTTTACTAGACCCAGCTTATGTAACGTTTGTTGAACAGCAGTCACTGTGGCAACAGTCAAATACAGGAACTGACACTAGCCTCCAAGTGTGTTTGTCAATTTATATTGCTTATTAATTCAGCTTTTCATTTGTAACAAATCATGGCTGCCACTAACATCCATACATACATACAGTCTTATGCAAAAGTTTAGGCACCCCTTGATAAATAACAGATTTTGCTGATTTTTTATTTGAACAGATGTTAACACAGTTTCTCTTGGAAATGGAAAAAATGCACAATATTTTCAGCAAACAGTGATGCATAGTTACTTCTTATGCCATAAATTGAACAAAAATAAAAAATAAAAACATTATTATGGCATGGTGCAAAAGTTTGGGCACCCTACACAATCAGTACTTAGTAACACCTCCTCTGGCAGATATCACAGCTTGCAAACGCTTTTCATAGCCAGCTAAAAGTCTTTCAATTCTTGTACTTGGGATCTTCTCCCATTCTTCCTTGCAAAAGGCTTCTAGTTCTGTAATATTCTTTGGTCGTCTTGCATGCACAGCTCTTTTAAGATCTACCCACAAATTTTCAATGATGTTTAAATCAGGGGACTGTGATGGCCATTCCAAAACCTTCAGCCTGCGTCTCTTGAGGTATTCCATAGTGGATTTCGAGGTATGTTTAGGATCATTGTCCTGTTGTAGAAGCCATCCTCTTTTCAGCTTCAGCTTTTTTACAGATGGTGTGATGTTTGCTTCCAGAATTTGCTGGTATTTAGTGGAATCCATTCTTCCCTCCACCCGTGCAATGTTTCCTGTGCCACTGGCTGCAACACAACCCCAGAGCATGATAGATCCACCCCCATGCTTAATAGTTGGCAAGGTGTTCTTTTCATGAAATGCTGCTCCTTTTTTTCTCCAAACATGCCTTTGCTGATTGTGTCCAAAGAGTTCTATTTTAACTTCATCAGTCCACAGCACTTGTTTCCAAAACGCATCGGGCTTCTGTAGATGTCCTGTTGCATACTTCAGACGTTGGATTTTATGATGGGGACGCAGATAAGGTTTTCTTCTGCTGACTCTTCCATGAAGGCCTTGTCTGTGCAAGCATCGCTGCACAGTGGAACGGTGCACCACCACTCCTGAGTCTGCTAAATCTTCCTGCAGGTTTTTTGCAGTCAAATGGGGGTTTTGATTTGTCTTTCTGACCAGCATACGAGCAGTTCTGTCCGAGAGTTTTCTTGGTCTTCCAGATCTCATCTTGACCTCCACAGTTCCCCTGATCTGCCATCTCTTATTTACATTTCTTACTGTGGAAACTGCAAGCTGACAACGCTTTGCTATCTTCTTGTAGCCTTCTCCTGCATTGTGGGCGTCAATAACTTTCATTTTCAGGGTCTTACACAGCTGCTTAGAGGAACCCATGGTTGCTGGGTGTCCACAAGTGTGTGCACAAGGTTTGAAGAGTCAAAGTATTTGTACAGCTTTGAAATTGGCATTTACCAATGACAGCTGTTGCTGTGCATCAGATCTAACGAGCTGATTAAGGTCTGATACCTTGTGAGAGACTTTGAGACTCTGGAACTCTTAGGGTGCCCAAACTTTTGCACCATGCCATAATAATGTTTTTATTTTTTATTTTTGTTCAATTTATGGCATAAGAAGTAACTATGCATCACTGTTTGCTGAAAATATTGTGCATTTTTTCCATTTCCAAGAGAAACTGTGTTAACATCTGTTCAAATAAAAAATCACCAAAATCTGTTATTTATCAAGGGGTGCCTAAACTTTTGCATAAGACTGTATTTACATACACATCAAATCCCTAAAGTCGATCACCACACAACACACGTAAAACAATTTTCCCAGAATGGACAGAGCCTTTAGAGATAGTTCAAGGTTGTCAAGAAAACAATCAAAAAATGTAACTGTGTTTAACTTTTGTTCAGTGTTTTGTTTTACATACACACACACACAGACTTACGACAGAAGGTATTGTTTCTCCATGCGATGGGGACTCCTGCAGCAGCACACATGTCAGCATAGCTCTCTATGGCCTGGCACAGAGCCACAGTCTGCCCTCCAGTTGCACACATGTCATACACACAGTTTCCAAAGTATGGGTTGGGCAGCACGACAGAGTGGCAGGGCTTAAAGATACCTGAGGTCAAGATCAACAACACATAAATGCAATAGAGGTGAATGCCAGGCAAACCTATTTTACTCAGAAAAACACTTAGCATGGTACTGGACTACTCTAGTTGGCTGGCTTGCATCTACAGGGTGAAAAGTAACTAGGCATTAGAAATTGGCTATAGAACTTGTAGTATCACTGGAGTCATGATGAAAACAGTCTCTAAATAGATAGATTTCATATGAAATATGATTTCTTTTCATATTAATTTGATTGATATTTGAATGATTGAATTTGATTCATATGAAATCCTATTTACTATCATCTATTTAGACACTGTTTTCATCATGACTCCAGTAATACTACAAGTTCTATAGACAATTTTTAATGCCTAGTTACTTTTCACCCACCCTGTAGTATCAAGGGCCAACATAAGAGTATTTGGGCTTGGGCAGGGTATAAATTTCCTCAAGGTCATACAGCCATGGTTGTCGTTGCTCTTGCATTTGGCCATGAAACCCTTTACATGTGCCAGAGTTATATGGCCATGGTGGCTGGTGTGCCCTCATCAGATGTGACAGAGCTTCTAACTCCATCAGCTCTTCTCAGGTGTGTCAGATGTGATGAGTGATCACTAAGTCATTTGTTTTTTCATGTTCAGTCACTCACGTAGGTGTGTGTTTCATGGATGGCCTCCCTGGTAGCTACATATAAGTTGGCATAATACACCTGTAGAATTTAACACTTCGACACTGTTTGGTGACATCAACATTTTTACAAATGGTTGGTGAACCTCTGTTGTCTAGGTTCACTACATCTAGGTGCTATTTTTAAGCTCAGAGTGTGTGCCAATCAAGCTAATGTGCTAAACACGAAATACCCAAGTCTATGAGGTTTCCCTAGGTCTACTGGGTTAGCAGTTGGTCCCTTCCAAAAATATATGAAATTGAAGGTCAACTGGCCTTGCTGTTCAAAATATATGATTTACAGATCTAATAATCATCAAACCAGTGAAGAACAATGAATGAAGACAAACAGAAGAATACATAAAGATGTAGAGGGGTGCTGTCACTGCTTATGTTGTTGCTCGACTCTGCTTTAACATCTTTTAGAATCATCTATCTTTAGTATTTTTCTGAATGTACTAATAAACATTGTGATATATTAAATTGGACCTTATTCCATTGATTCCTGCAGACCACTCATGCATGTAGTGCACCTGATTGTGATGCTGATTCTAATGACAGTGGTGATAATGAGATCCCATTCATCATAGCAGGTTAATGACATGGGATGTGCAGGGGGTTGGTCTGGAAACTGGTCTTCCTGACATTGTATGTGTGTGTATGTGCGTGTTAGTCACACACCATTGGGATTGGTGATTATGCCGCAGCTGGTGGGCTTCTTGGCCTCCTCCTCCACGTTTTTATCACATTCTTCATGTCCTCCACCATTGGTACAGCTGGAGAAGAGGTGGAGGTTTCATTAGAACAAATTCATTAGATGTGATGATTTTTGCATGTTGGACTATGCTTGTTGATCCACCCAGAGCATCAATCATCCATCTATTCATTATCTATAGCGTTTATCCTGAAGAGGGTTGTGGGGGGGTCTGGAGCCAATCCTGGCGAGACACGGGTTACACCCTGGACAGGTCACCATTCTGTCACAGGGCTGACATGTAGACAAACAACCACACACACTCCTACGGGCAATTTAGAGTCTTTGGACTGTGGGAGGAAGCTGGAGTACCCCACGCAGAGAGAACATGCAAACTCCACACAGAAAGGCCCCGGAACCTTCTTGCTGTGAGGTGACAGTGCTAACCACGGCTCCACCACGCTGTCCCCCAGAGCATCATATTGTTGATGAAACATTTTGGTCAGATTAGTGTAAAACCTGCTGCAGATATTTTGAGTTCTCTAAGGATGAAACATTTCTGTTGATGTTTTGCTGAACTTGAATGGCCAAGTGTCAAAATCCAATGCGTAAATGCATAAAGGCTATGTAAAACCACTGAGGGGTAAAATTTCCGCTTTTATAATTTAAACAATTTTTGTTTGCTAATTATTTCAAGCTGTTTGAACTTTACAGTTTGTTACAGTCACTGAGACACTTGCTATACACATAGTTCTTAGTCCTGCTGCTCAGTGTGGCCTGTTTTTCCTGACAGGGTTTATTATATCAAACAGCAACAACAAAACAACACAAAATTATGGAAATTTGGGATAATTTGTGAATACAGAATAGCTATAATCTAGTATTTCTGTAAAGAAGATTGAGTGTAGCAGAATGTTGAATATGACTCTGTTGTTAGACATAAGTAAAGGCCATTGGGTAATTAAAGACACTGTTCACCAGTAAGTGAGCTGCCTTTTTTTTATTGATGCTGGAGAGTGCAGTTCTGTATCTGTGACTTACTCAGGTCGTGGATCAGGAACCTGCCAGCTGTCTCCCAGTTCATTGCTGTTAGCAGCTGGTGTATTATCTGGTTTCAGGTTGTCATCTTTGGAGTCTCCATTGAAATTTCCTACCAGGGCAGAAAACATAAGACTCACTACAGAGTCAACATGCTGAAAAGGACACTAAGGGTTGCATTTGGGGCAGGTTTTTTTTTTTTGGACCTGGTAGTTTTAGGTTGGAAAACTACACTAAGGTACAGTACATAAAGTGAGAGGTAGCTGTTGTGAAGAAATAGACAAAACTCTGGCTGGAATCAGCTGTAGTGAAAATAGGCTCCCACTTGAAAATGTCTACTGTTATGCCATTTTACTGGTTCTTACCACACATGCCACAGAGAAGGCCTTTGTAGGAAGTTGGCACAGAGACATCAGCGTGGTGGTTACCATCAAAACGCACCCTCAGGCCAAAGGAGGTCTCCAGAACAACAAACCTTCCGCTGAAGTAGATCTTAACTCCACTGATAGAAGTGACAGGGGGGACAATCACTGTCCCGTTGACCTGAAGAAGAGAAAGATGTTTGTTTTGATGATGGACCAAATTATCAAAACTGTTAATGATTAACTTTGTCAGTTGGCTAATTGATTTATTGACTAATTGTTTTAGCAATAAATTTTACAACTATTCATTGGTGCTATACAGCAAGCTCTTCCTCCAAATCTGACACGGTAGTACATGATACAGATACTGTAAATCTGTCAGTTAACATACCTGGACTATGCGGCCCTTGCCAAAAATGATAGTAGCACTGTTCACATTGATCACCACAGCCCTGACGTAGGAAACTTGCTTATTACTCCCTCGGTGCTCATTCTGGGTGTCCACGGTAAAGTACGGCATGCCAGAAGAAGCGATGCAGGGCTTGGTCAGGGTATAAGAGCAGGCTCCCATATAATGATGGCTGTGCTGATCAAAGGTGGTGTAGTGAGGATCACCAGAGACTGAGCACATACCATGTCCTAAACAAGAGAGGCAAGAATTTAACTGAACTGTGAGGAGTCTGGACTCTGGCAGAGTCTGCTGATTTATTACACTGATCTTTAACACCGTAAGAGCAGAAAGGGGATGCAGAACATAGAAATTGTTACACATACCTCCCTCTCTCTGTGCTTTGTATATACATTTTAAATGTAGTAATTTGATAAAGCACAAACTAGCTGAGGAATATGCATCATATAAGCACAATATCAGCAGAGTTAATGAAGGCTAGCTTTTGACACAAGACCCTCTAAGACAGAATCTCAGCAAATGTAAAAGCAGGACCTACTGTGAGGTGCATGTGTGTGTGTGTGTGTGTGTGTGTGAGTGTGTGTGTTTAACACACCCAGAGGGTGGCAGCCATATTCTCCATCTTGTAGCTGGCAGCTCTCAGTGGCTGGTTTACAGCTGCTGTTGTAACACTGGATCAAACCTCCACTGTGACACACACATTTCTGCTCACAGGCCTCCAAGTACCAGTCATCACCCGCCTAACAAACACATGGAAATTATGATTAAGTCTCCATAAAAAATCATTGCCCAGGTGAGATACAAACCCTCTGACCAACAGATTTTCAAAACCAAAACTGACATTTTTGCACAGAATCTTCCATCTGCTACCTCCCATTGTGTGTAAACTTATTAAAATTATTCAGCATGTCTATGTGTAAAAACTGTATTTCATAAAATGAGCTCGAAGACATTACATCAGGGCACCGATAGCCAAATAAAGGGAAAATTAGAAAAACATAGTGCTAACATTGTGGTAGATAGACAATAACAGTAAAATAACATTGTTGTATATGTGCTTAAACATTGTTTATGCTTTAAAACTCAATATACAGTCTTATGCAAAAGTTTAGGCACCCCTTGATAAATAACAGATTTTGGTGAGTTTTTATTTGAACAGATGTTAACACAGTTTCTCTTGGAAATGGAAAAAATGCACAATATTTTCTGCAAACAGTGATGCATAGTTACTTCTTATGCCATAAATTGAACAAAAATAAAAAATAAAAACATTATTATGGCATATAGACAATAACAGTAAAATAACATTGTTGTAAATGTGCTTAAACATTGTTTATGCTTTAAAACTCAATATAATTTATATATTCATGCTTATATTACAATAGTATGCCAGTACATTACATCAGAGCACAATACCTTTTTCAAATTTCTGCAAACAAAATTCTGAATATTTCGCTGAAAAAAAAAGTTAGAAAAAAATCAACTGGACTAAGTTTCTAGGTCGACCTAGATTGCAGGCTTAGTTTATATTTGCACAGCACCTTTGATAAACTTTATGACTACTGAACACATGAAACACACACTCATATATGACAAGAGGACTGATGTGGAATATGGGGGTGCTGAATTACTTACAGGGTGATAGGATCCACTGGT